GTCTAAAACATCCACAAATTGCCCATTTGATAGCTGAATATGCAGCTATATCTCTGACAAATTATTCTGTAAATTCATTGCAACTGAACCAATGTGACAGATTGCAATTTGCAGCCGCTATTCCACCCAGCATGTGATGCAATGATCTCTACTAATTACCTGAGAAAATATGAGTCAGGTATCCAACTTCTCTAAATGCTTTTACAGTATCAGATTTTTCTTAGGTTGGAAGGAGTTGACGCATATTATAAAATGAATTTATTGCCTCATGTTCTTTTTGAAAATAGAGCATTCAGTAATAAGAACTATCAAGCATATTGTAAGTTATACATATTATATAAGTAGTTACAAGGGGCATCAATGATTTTGCCTAACCAGCTACTGCTGTTGCATCACAAGTAGTACAAATATGTGTGATTCCGTGGTGATTATTTTGTTTTAAATTATAATTTTAGAGATGGTTTACTTAGACGTAATTCAAGGGGTTTAACCATGAAGAAATTACTTAAAAATTAGTGGATTTCTCATTTACCTTCTACCCAAATGCACAACAAACTAGTATATCCTTGTGTTTGTATAAAAAAAGATCAACTTCAGAAATTTTAAAATGCATGTTAAAAATCTCTAATGGGCTGGCGCCATCGCCATGACTCACTAGGCTAATCCTCTGCCTGCAGCACCAGCACCCTGGGTTCTAGTTCCAGTAGGGGCTCCGGATTCTGTCCTGGTTGCCCCTCTTCCAGGCCAGCTCTCTGCTGTGGCCTGGGAAGGCAGTGGAGGATGGCCCAAGTGCTTGGGCCCTGCACCTGCATAGGAGTCCAGGAGGAAGCACCTGGCTCCTGGCTTCAGAATGGCATAGTTCCGGCCATGGCGGCCATTGGAGGGTGAACCAACGGAAAGGAAGACCTTTCTCTCTGTCTCTCTCTCTCATTTCTCTCATTGTCTAACTCTGCCTGTCAAAAAAAAACTCTAATGAAGATAATCATACTTTCTTAATACAGATTACTAAAATACGTGTGGATCAAATGAAGAGTAAGATGTGGTATATAATAAATGTATTATAATGTGCAATTCGGGACATGCTCAAGCTGACTTACCTCAAACGATAGAGTTAGAAACATACCAGGGGATTCCAATTCAATCCCATCAAGGTGGCATGTACCAATGCCATCTCACTAGTCCCAGTGATCAATTTCTGTTCACAATTGATCATAATGATAGGACTAAGAACCAAAGGGATCACATAAACAAGAATAGTGTCTGCAAATACTAGCTGATAGAATAAAAAAGGGAGAGAATGATCCAACATGGGAAGTGAGATACACAGCAGACCCATAGAATGGCAGATGTCCTAACAGCACTCTGGCCTCAGAATCAGCCCTAAAGGCATGCGGATCTGGCTGAAAAGCCCATGAGAGTATTTCAGGCATGGAAAGCCAAGACACTCTGGCAAAAACAAAAAAACAAAAACAAAAACAAAAAAAAAAAAAAACACCTAAATGAAAGATCTCTGCGAGTGAGATCCCAACGGAAAGAACGGGTCATCAAAGAAGGAGGTACCTTTCTCTGAAGGGAGGAGCGAACTTCCACTTTGACCATGGCCTTGTCTAAAAATTATCAGAGTCAGTGAACTCAGGGGGCTTCCATAGCCTTGGCAGCTCATGACAAGAGCCTAGGGTGATTACTGATGCCATAAACAAGAGTGTCAAATTGTTAAGTCAACAAAAGGAGTCACTGTGCACTTACTCCTCATGTAGGATCTTTGTCCTTAGTATGCTATACATTGAGATTTAATGCTATAACTAGTACTCAAACAGTATTTTTCACTTTATGTTTCTGTGTGGGAGCAAACTGTTGAAATCTTTACTTAATGTATGCTAAACTGATCTTAGGTATATAAAGAGAATTAAAAATGAATCTTGATGTGAATGGAAGGGGAGAGGGAGTGGGAAAGGGGAGGGTTGCAGGTGGGAGGGACATTATGGAGGGGAAGCCATTGTAATCCATAAGCTGTACTTTGGAAATTTATATTCACTAAATAAAGGTTAAAAAAAAAGTATTATAATGTAGTAATCTCAAATTGAAACTTTTTAGACCTACAGAGGATAAAGATGGGCAAAGCGTCTATTCCAGAAATCAATGAGAAAAAACATTTTCCATCAAAATGTAGATGAGGAGTCAGTAGTAAATAATATTTAACTCTGACAGGTTCGAAATGGCTACCCATGTGTTTGTAAGAATTGCTGAAGTAGTCAACATGGTAATATATTTATTATAAGATCTTATTGTCAAAACTTATGCTATAATAGGATTCAGTTATGGTTATGGAACAAACGGTAAATGTGGAGCTGTACAATCGGTTTCATTGTAGACCACAGCATTTTCTACCATGTGTTTTCACACAAGCCTCCAAAGCTCACTTAGCTGGTTTCTCGAACTCTTACCTTGGCTAATGATTCTTAAGCTGCCTTCTACTTGTTATTTTTGTAAAAAAAAAAAAAAAAAAAAAAAAAAAAAAAAAACAAATGGGAGGACACAATGCATTATTAATCATAAGTAATAATAGTGGAAAGATAATGACCATATTAAATGATTAGAAATGCAGCGAAGTTTCTTTCACAGTCAGTAAGTCCGAAAGCCATGTACTTTTCATAGGTTTCATTTATTATTTTTCAAAACAATCATGAGATATTTAATGTTTAGACTCCATTTTAGAGCAAATAAAATAAAAATTAAGTTATTTAACAAGTTCATGCAGTTAGTGAGTAGGTTGGTGTATTCAAGTATGTTCAAGTTCAGATTCCAAATCACTATCTTCGTTGTCTGTGTTGGCCTCTTCTCCCCCATGGTGATTCCTTGGTATTATTCCTTGGTATTTCTATGATAGACTTCGCTATAGGACATCAGTGTTGCCTGTTTATTGTTTGTTACTTAATGAGCTTACATTCTGGTTCAGCATTCAGAAATAAAGGATGGAATGAATGAAGCAGCAAATGCCCAGAATCTATGCAGACACAGGGCCTACTGTGTTATTACATGCATATATACACAATGCAGAAAAATGTTTTCACTTCAGTGTAGTCCTTCTGACAGTAGTCGTATCTTCATGTATTTTAATTCATTTTGTAAAAACAAAAGATTTATTTATTTTGAAAGTTGGAGTTACAGAGAAATCTTCCATCTGCTGATTCAACCCATAGAGGGCAGCATGGCCAGCTCTGAGCTGAGCTGAAGCCAGGGAAGGCAAGGAGCCAGCATCATTCACTGCTTTCTTAGGCCATTAGCAGGGAGCTGGATCAGAAGAGGATTGGCCAGGACTTGAACCAGCATCCATATTGGATGCCGGCATCGCAGGTGGTGCCTTTACCCACCACTGGACACTGCCAGCTCCTTGTTTAACTTTTATGTTAGTTGAATCTTCACAACTTAATCTGTATTAACATCCTTATGCAGTGTTTCTGGATAGTAGCATCCAGAAAGCATATTCTCAACTCAACTGGAGGTCTGGAGTTGTGAAGCAGCAGAAGGGAAAGTTTATTCTTCATAAACCCACGTGATTTTGTTAATATATTTATCAATTAAATTAAAAGTTGAATTGAATAATAAATAGAATTTTCACTATCCAAATATTATACTCAGAAGATCTGCTTTATGCCAAAAGCAGCACAATCTGTAGGAATAGAAATATTCAATTAACATATTTGTAGAAATTTAACATGGCAAATGATATACATAAAATGCTGAGCCTGTATCTCAGATTTTATTTTTCTTTAATTGAGAATCTTTGAAAAAGCAGATCCAAAGTTGAAATCATTCACTTTATTATTCCTAAAGAGTAAAAGAATATTAAATTTCTTCAAAATGTATTTTTTTTTTTGACAGGCAGAATGGACAGTGAGAGAGAGAGAGACAGAGAGAAAGGTCTTCCTTTGCCCTTGGTTCACCCTCCAATGGCCGCCGCAGGCGGCACGCTGCGGCCAGTGCACCGCGCTGATCTGATGGCAGGAGCCAGGTACTTATCCTGGTCTCCCATGGGGTGCAGGACCCAAGTACTTGGGTCATCCTCCACTGCACTACCTGGCCACAGCAGAGAGCTGGCCTGGAAGAGGGGTAACTGGGACAGAATCTGGCGCCCCGACTGGGACTAGAACTCGTGTGCAGGCGCCGCAAGGCGGAGGATTAGCCTAGTAAGCTGGGGCGCCGGCCAAAATGTATTTTCTTTTAGAGGAGAAAATGAAAAGATGTTTTGTTTTCGCTGCATCTATTGAGATGACCATAGGGGATTTTGCAGATCCCTATGTAGCCGTTATTTAAGTCCTTCATGGTAGAATGTGTATATGTAATGCATTCTGATTAACCAGCTTGCCAATATTCTTCACCAATAAACCAATTTTCTACTACTTTCCTAAAATTAAATTTGGTAATTTATCAACAATATGAATGGTGACATAATTATATCCATTTAGGAAGTGAATTATTGCCATGTGCTATTGGTATACCTAAAGAAATGTGTTAAAGGCACTGTAGTTATGGATTTTAATTGTAACACAGAGCTCATGATTAATGTGAATATACCTTGTCTGGTTGTCCTACAGATAATCTCAGTTGTACTTCATAAACTTGGAAGCTTAACAGAGATATATTGATTTCTTAATTTAATGGAAAATGATTGTGTAATTTAAAATAATACATTCATTTAATGTGGTTACATTTAAGGATATATATCTTTAAAACATAGCATTATATTTAAAATATTTGATAGTCAAATTAAAGGTTAAAATACATTTCCCAGCTAATATAGCATGGTAAGACTAAAAGAATTATTTTTTAATCTTTGAAATTCCTAAATATCAAAAAATGCAATCAGAAATTTTGTTGTTGTCCTTTATTTCATGATTTGAAAATATGTAACTCTAAATAAGTTCAAATATTAGAAAAAAATCATTGTTTTTTATTTTATATTGTCTCCTCTAAGTAATGAATTTGTATTAATGTTCCAGCTGCTCCACTTCCAATCCAGCTGAAAAGAGCAGTGGAAGATAGCCCAAGTTTTTGGGCCCCTGAACACCCTTGGGAGATCTGCAAGAAGTTCCTGCTTTGGCTTTGGCCTGGCCCAGCACTGGCTGTTGCAGCCATCTGGGAGTGAACCAGCAGATGTAAGATTGATTTCTCTCTCTCTCTCTCTCACTTCTCTCTCTAACTATGACTTTTATAATAAATAGATCTGTAAAGAAGTACAATCAATGAATGTTAGCACTTCAGTGTTCCTGAAATCACACAGATGATTCTGTTCTGTGGCTAGTGCCTTCAGAAGAACATCTCAACATACTTGTCTGCTGCTTAGATCTTTTCTCACAGAACTAGTATCAGATACGGGTTTTCTGGTCTGAAAGCTCTTAGTTTTTCCATACTTTATATGAACACACTTGCTCAATTAAGTGTACTATTTAGGGATTTCTATGCCATAACTGACCCATTTATTTCCAGTTTCACCAGAGTATGACCATGCAGTAACTGTTTTTCCTTATTACCATTAATCCTTAAAATTATCTTTACAAGTAAGTGCTGAATTTTATTGACAGAAAAGCTATGCAATAATCCTGTGGATTGAGTTTGCACTCACATACAGAACTGATTTTTAAAGATATTCCTAAATAAAGGCATTTAATTATCCATGATTTGAGTAGAACTACTGAATGTGAACAAATTTCTTCATAGTTAGAAATAAGCAAATTGGGCAATGCATATTGTGTGTGATAAAATTAATTTCATTAAAATTACATTAATAGGTAGTCTGTTAAGATTGCTCTTGGATGTAACATTTACATGATGAACAAATAAAATTACACAAAGTTAATATTAAAATAAGAAATAGTACAGGAAATATAATAACCAAGGACAGGCTTTTTTATGACCACAGTCTTTTACAAACCAATAAGAAAAGAATTAAGTGCAAATGATTTATATTCATTATGTATTCCAGGAAGAGCCTTTATTTTGCCAAAAGATGTTAATACACTCAAAATTATAATGAGCACTTGAGAACAATATAATTGTGTTCATTTTTTAAAAGTCAAGTTTGTTTTAATGCAAATTCTACAAAATGTTCTTAAAGTAATCCTCTAACTGATGGTATAAAATCAAATTACATGTTGCATAACAAGCATTTTTAAGTACACTTAGGAGTTCAGAAGGACTGGAGATAGTACCATAAGAGATAGAGTATTGATAATTGACTTTTGGCAAAATAATAGATTGAATATGAAGTATCCAACAGGAGGAAGAAGACAAATCCCTGAGTAAGAAAGATCGGGATTAGAGATAGCTATAGCAGAAAGTAGATGTCTGGAGGAGTTTTAGACTGAGGATAAGTGTATGGCAATGACTTTAGTTTCTAATTAAGACACAAGCTTTGGAACACCTTGAAAGCTACAGATACAAATTTAGACCTAATACATATGCTTAAAAATTGAAAATATGAATTTACTTTTTAGTGACATGGTAAAGCAATGTGACAGAATTCAGACCCACTGCTAATTTAAACTAGATATTGATCTAGTCATTTCCAATCTGACGAGAAGAAAGTATATTACCTTTATTGTGGAAACAGTCTTTGGTTACAATACTGTATATATTCATGACCTATTGCTGATAGCATTAAAAATCCAGTAGTAATCATTTGGATACCTTTGTTAAGATAGAAAGATAGATGGATAATCTACCTGTGCATATAAAAATGTTTCCATGAAGATGTGTAATACTGGGAAAATGTTACAGCTGGATCCTGTTAAAGGGCAGAGGCAGTCATTATGGCAAAATTACAACAGAGCAGAGAATATATACTTAATTTCTATGAGACATCTGCATGTGCCCCGAAAAGAAAAAGAACTGGGAAAGGAAAGAACACTGTATATTAATCATAGAGACCTATGATTGACCAATCTCATTTACTCTGCTTCCCTGAGTCACTCACAGTCTCTCTTTCTGTTCACTGGGCAGTGTGGCTGGGTTTTTGCAAGCTGACCAAAACAGAATGATGGACACCATTGGCAAGACTGTGCCCCTATTCTAGGGGCTCACAATGGGGGTTAGATTTTGATCCTTGTGATCCTTGGCAGCAACTGAGGACAGTTTTCATTGTCTTTCTGGGAGCAGCCTACTTATATCCAATTGGTAGAGATCAAGGATAGTGCTAAACATCTCACAATAATTAGAAGAGTTCCCTATAATAAATTATTGTCTAATTAAAAAGCCAATAGGGCTGAAATTGAGAATCTCTGTTATATTTTCACCTCTGCTGTCTATGCAATAGGAACTAAAAATAAACTCATTCTAGAACTCTACCATAGTATATATTGTCATATTCTGCAATATCCACCATTCCCCAAAATTTACTTATATCTTTTTGCTTGTGTGTGTGTTGTGTGTGTGGTAAAAATACATGAGACATTATGGTAAGCTTTATTGCCATACATATACTGAAGCAAGTTTTATATGTGAGTGTATGTGTGGTGTGTGTGTGTGTGTGTGCGTGTGGTATGTATATGCATATTTCCAAACTAATGACATTATACACAGTGCATTCAACATAGAAATATAGACATTTGCTTACCAATTATAGCTCACTACAATTTGACACCATAACAAAGAGGAATCTGTGACTCAAAAGTGTTTCCATTGTGCTTTTTTGCCATTGCATTTACATATATTCTTATTTATTTATTTGAAAGTCAGAGAGTAAATACACAGAGATATCTTACATCTGCTGGTTCACTCCCCAAATGCCTATAATAACCAGGATGGGCCAGGCCAAAGCCAGAACATGGATCCTGAAACTCAGTCCTGGTCTCCCATGTGGATGACCAATGGGCTCAAGCACGTGGGCCTTCATCTGCTGTCTCTTAGGGTAACAGGAGGAAACTGAATTGAAGGAGGTAAAGGATGAGAACAACACAGGTACTAAACCATGGGATACAGCTTAACCTGCTGCAGCACAATACCGACCCATTATTGCATATATTCTGTCAGTAACCATAACTTAACGAATGTGGAAATAAGCATTGATGAATATAAAGCATTAATAAATAGAGTTTTTTTTATTAAAATCCGCATGAGTAATACAAGGTAATTTCTCCAGTGAAAGGTGACTGGAGAAATACATTTTAAAAGAAAAATATTTAAATATAAAATAATGATTCCATTATACTTGTAGGATTGGTTGTTTTCCTTTATCTGATATTTAGATGTCTCTAATGAGAAGTGAGAGGAATCAAATACCCACGCGACTGAGGAAACTGCAAACAGAAATGGTACATTTTATTGCAAAATGTACCAAAACTTTAAGTTGCACAGTCCACTTGGAATTTATATCAAGGAAATATTTACGATCCCCTTTCTTAGTAATATTTATCATAGGAAATGCCTGTAAAGCACCAGAATTTATGAGAATAAAATAGCTTAATAGTCCCCTGTGATAAATAACAGCATTGTGAATGTTTCCACCATTAAGTACCACTGATATTTTTAAATGGTATATCATACTAGGTGAAAATATGCAGACCTCCTTATCTAGGAAAATATTAATAATCCAAGAAGAGTGATTACTTCTAGGATGTAGAAGTGACTTTTTTATTCATACCTTTATATACTAAATGTTGTAAATAATAAACTGTTTTGTAATCCATTTTGTATTCTAGAAAATCAGGCTTCAATAATCTGCTGGTCTAAACCTGCTCAAAGCACAAGATGTCAAAGGTGCTACAAGACTTTTCTTTCAGGGTCACCCACCAAGTTTTGTTTTTTTTTTCAAGGAAACCTTTTATTAAATGAGTACTTATTTCATAATTACAACTCTAGGAATATAGTGGTTCTTTCCCCCATACCCATCCCCCCACCACTCCCATTGCACCTCCGCCTCCCTCTCAAATCACATTCTCCATTAAGATTCGTCTTTAATTTATACACAGAAGACCAACTCTATACTAAGTAAAGATTTCAACAGTTTGCATACACACAAAAAATATAAAAACTGTTTGAAAACAAATTTTACAATTAATTCTCATAATACAACTCATTGAGGACAGAGGAGAGTTAGTGCACAGTGACTTCTGTTGTTAATGTAACAATAATACTCTTATGCATCACGTCATTGACCACCTAGGCTCTTGACATGAGCTGCCTAGGCTATGGAAGCCTTTTGAATACACAATTCCCATCTGTATTTAGACCAGGCAATATGCAAAGTAGAAGTTCTCTCCTCCCTTCAAAGAAAAACACATCCTTCTTTGATGGCTGCTACCTTCCATTGAGATCTCACTCTCAAAGATCCTTCATGTAGGACATTTTTTTTTTTGTTCCACAGTGTCTTGGCTTTCCATGCCTGAAATGCTGTCATAGGCTTTTCAGACAGACCAGAATGCTTTAAGAGCTGATTCTAAGATCAGAGTGTTGTTCAGAGTGTTTGCCATTCTATGAGTCTGCTGTATGGACTGCTTCCCATGTTGGAACATTCTCTCCTTTTTATTTGTATCGTTATTACCTATACTTCATCTTATTTATATGAACTCTTTAACAATCCTATCTATATGATCAATTAAGCACTTAAATTGATCACTTTAACAGTTAAAATGCCATTGTTACCACCCAGTTTAATGGGATTTGGAGTACCATGGCAAGTTTTTAGTTTTACCCTTAGAAGTAGGAAAGAATTTAGAACTATATAGCTCCTCCCTCTCTTATTCCCACTACTATATTTTACTGGGATCTACTTTTAATTGACTTTATACATATATGATTAAGTCTATGCTAAGTAAAGAATATAACCAATAGTATTAAGAAGGGGAAAAAAACCTGTTTCTTGACAGTAAAGAAAAGGGTTTTTCAAGTCAATTTCATGTCTACAGGTTTTTTTTTTTAGGTGCTTTGTTAGTTATCACAGATTAGGGAGAACATTTGATATTTGTCCCTTTGGTACTGGCTTATTTCACTAAGTATGACATTTCCCAGATTCATCCATTTTGTTGCAAATGACAAGATTTCATTTTTTACCACTGTATAGTATTCCATAGAGTACATATCCCATAATTTCTTCATCCAATCTTCAGTTGATGAGCATTTCAGTTGATTTCATGTCTTAGCTATTGTAAATTGAGCTGCA